TAATAAATAATTAAAATTTTCCTTTCCTTTCCTTTCCTTTTACATTATTATTATTATTTATTATTCATTTAGGTTTTTTAATTAAGAGAATAAAAAAAGAAAAAAGAAAAAGGGGGGGGGAGAAAATTAATGCGTCAAAGAATCAAATTTCCGGGAAAGAAAATCTCTTAGTCGAAGAAAAGGTTTGAAAGAAAAAAAAAAAAAAGAAAAGTTTAAAAAGAAATAAAAAAAAAAAATGGCTAATTTTCTGGTTATTTTTTTTTAATTTTTTTTTGTACCCCCCGTTAATATAAATGAATGAAAATTATCCCGATTTTATTATTATTATTAATTAATTAATTTATTTATTATTATTTTTCGTAGGAAATCATTAAAAAATGGGGAAAAAATTAAATTATTTTCCAATTTTTTTCATTTTCTTTATATTAACTATGTTAGAATCGTCATATTGTCAAGGAATATGGCGGAGACCCGGATGCCATAAAGTCGGTTAGTATACATATCCCATCGAATCATTATTATTATTATTATTTTGTAATGACGTCATATATTTCATAGGACACACGAGAAAAGTGAGCATTCCAGATTGCGTTGAATTTCACATAACGACAAACGCTTGTCGGGGATTTTGCGAATCTTGGTCGATACCATCGGGAATGGAAACTCTTCGTGTAAATCCATTTCAGGTCATTACGTCAGTAGGTCAATGTTGCAACATTATGGAAACCGAAGATGTTTGTTATCATTTTATCATCATCATCATCATCATCATCAATTCTTATTGTTTTTAACAATTTTGTTTGTTTGTTTTAGGTTGATGTTAAAGTTATGTGTTTGGAAGGAATTCGTGAATTGACATTTAAATCAGCTAAAACATGTTCTTGCTATCATTGTAAAAAAGATTAATTTTTAAAGAATTTCATTAATTAATTAAAAATCCATATATTTATTATTAATATTATTATTATTATTATTATTTTCTCCTTTTTATTTATTTTTAACGTCGGTGGTAAGTGTCAACACCTTTTTTAACTAAAAAAAAAAAACGATATCCTTTGTTTTCCTTTAGTTATTCTTTTTCATGTGGTTTTTTTTTTTTTTTAAATTAAATTTTAATCCTTAAATATAAACATATTATGTTTTTGTTTGTTTTCTTGTTTAAACAAACTAACTTCTGCTTGTGATACTTATTTTTAAATAATTAAAATTATTTTGAGGGGTTTTTGAAAAAAAATGAAAACATTTTTTAAAACAATAAAATTTAATTTATTATTATTATTTTTTTAAAATAAAATTAAAAAAAGTTTACAAACGACATATAATAATTTTTTTTTTTATTGAAATTTCGATTCGAACAATTCAAAATTAAATAATAATAATGATAATAATTTAGGTTCGATTCCTTTGAAATCGGAAAATTTCACCATCTCCCTTATAACGAACACCCTGACAATTGGCTTCGGATGATTTACATAGCGAACATTCGCAAGAAATTGCTTCCATAAATTCGTGAATTTCCGTACCTGGTTCAACATCATTATCACAATTTGATAAAATAACCGTTTTAGGTTTTCTTTCGCCATGAATGCAAACCGGATGATGAGAACGTTTATATGGAAATCTCCAATCCGAAATCTGTCGTGAACAAAAAAAGGATAATTGAAAAATAAATTTAAACGACAGAGAAAGAAAATCGATTATTAATCAATAAATATTAACCTCGTTAGAATCGCATCTTCCCCAACAGGAAACGACAGTAATTGTATCCCAACAAATTCTCCCTTCGGAATCAGTTTGTGTTACTCTATGACTATAGGCTCGTCTGTTACAATCCAATGAAGAATCCATATTTGTTGAATCCGTTATGACGTTTTGACAATAACAATAATTTATCAATACGATAAAATATATTATTATTATTCCTCTTATCAAATTTATATTAATCATTTTGCCTTAAAAACAAGAAACAAATTCATGAAACGACATTAAAATTTACATTTCGTATTAAAAAAAAAAAATTATTTTATTTTATTATTAATACAAACAAAAAAAAAAAAAAAAATTTATTAAACAAGGGAATAAAAAAAATCTCATTTGTTATTTTAAATAATTTTTTTTTAAAATCCCGATTGAAAAAAAAAGGGAATCGTAAAATTTAAAAAAACATTTTCCTCCATATTTTTTTATTTTTTTTATCAAATTAATTTTTTTTTAGGAATGAATATAATAAACCGGAAATGGTAAAAAATAGAATTTTTAATAAGAATTGAAAAAAAATAAATAAATAAAACAAGTCATACATATAAAACATATAAAAATTAATCAATTTAAATTTTTTTTTTTTTTTTTTTCCATAGAGATAATAAAAAAAAAAAAAAAAAAAAAACATAAAGAGATGAAGCAAAAGAAAAAAAATTTAGAAAATATAGCAAAAGAAAAAAAAAATTTACAAGATATAGCAAACGAAAAAAAAAATTTTTTTTTTTGTTTACGTTTAAGTTTTTTTCATTTTTATTTTTTTTTTTTTTTATTTACATTTACAAAAAAAAAAAAAGGAATTTTTTTTTTTATAATTTTTACCCCGTAAATTATTATTATTATTATTTGATTCGTAAGTAGTTTTATTTTGATTATTATTATTATTATTGTGTAATAAGAGGAAAAGGAAATGAAAACGAAAAAAAAAAAAAAAATAATTAAACAAAAGAGACCGAAAAATCGAAGATCGGCATATATATATTTTTCAAAAGAATATAGAAACAATTTGAAAAAGAAAAATGGACGTGTGGATTTTATCGAGGGATCTAAATTATGCGCGGCAAAGTGGAAACACTTGCCGGAAAATGAAAAGGAAAAATATAGGAAAATGTCCGAGGAGGATGCCATTAGGTACAAAAAACAAATGGAAAATTTATCATCTGAAGAACTTAAAATGACTAAAAGGAAAAAAGATCCCGGTGCTCCCCTAAGACCTTTATCCGCTTACATGTGGTTTTGTAAAAGGAATTGGAAAAAAGTTGCTAAAGCGAATCCCGGAAAAGGTACATCTAAAGTCGTACAACTTTTGGCGCGAATGTGGACAAGTTCAACCGAGGATAAAAAGAAAATTTACGAAGAATATGCCGAATGCGATAAAAAATTTTACGATATCGAAAAAGAAAAATATTTGAAACAAAAAAAAGCAATTAAATTAAAAGGAGGACATATTTGAAAAAAAGGTTTTTTATAAAAAAAAAAAAAAAAAAGGAAAACCTTTTCACACCTTTCCCTCCCCCCAATTATTATTATAATTAAGTATAATTATTAATTATTATATATTTTTCGGTTAAACTAAAAAACAAACATTATTATTATCATTATTATCATTGTTTAATAATAATAAAAACTTTTTAACTTTTTTATTGCAATTACCACCAACACAGATAATTTTTTTTTTCTCTTTTATTAATTAGTTTGTTACTACAACAGCTAATGGTTGTCTTTTGATAATTGTTATTATTATTATCAACAACCACAACAACAACAACAACAGCAATTTAGAAATTAATAATTTTATTTATTTATTAAATCTTATAAAAATAATTTCTTTCGTTTTTAAAGAGAGTAAATTCAAATCCTTTGAGGAGCAACCATATTTTTTACAAGGCAATTTAAACAAACAAACAAAATTTATTTAAATAATAATAATAATAGGGATTTCGATAAAGGGAAAAGGTTAAGAAAAAAAAAATAATAATAATAATACAAAATGGAAATTGAGATTTTATTATTTGACAAAAAAAAATTTGAAAAATTTAACACGTAACTAATCAGTTCCTTTTCTCTCTCTGTCTCTCTCTCTCTCTATCTCTCTCGCAAATTCTTATTCCTCCATTTTTGTTTTCCTCCGGGGGCAAAAAGTTCAAAAAAAATTTATTTTTTATTTTAACATTATATAAAAAAAAATATAAAGTCAAACGCCTAAAGGAAAAGCAAAAAAAAAAAAAAGAGAAAAAAGTGGTAGTGACGTAGTTTATCGAATTTACCTTTCAACTATGACAATAACAAAAACAAAAAAAAAAAAAAAATGGCGGGAAATTTTTTAAAATGAAAATCCTTAAATGCGTGGTACAAAAAAAAACCTATTATTATTATTATCGTAAATTAATGACGTCGTAAAGTCCGAATTAAATGAAAATTATTTATTTAAATTTAAATTTTTTTAATTCCCCCCCTTAATCGGAGTTATAAAAATTAAATTTTTAATTGATTTTTGTTTTTCGTGGGGAGAAGGCATTAGGGTGGGGGGTTTTATATAAATTAATCCGATTTTTTTTTTCAATTAAAAATAATATAAAAGTTATTAATTTATCGAGTGTCATTTAAAATATATATTAATAATGATGATGATAACAATTTAATTTTCTGCTTTAATTTGTGGCAAATGGTTCATATTATACCTGGAGTATGGGTGGGTGTGCACGTGCAAGAGTGTGTTTGTAGTCTTTCGCACTTATCGATAAAACTACCCTTAAAAAAAAAAAAAAACTTGTAAACTTTTTTCTCGTTAATGTTTATATATAAAAAGTTGAAAACTTTTTTTAAATAGGAAAAAAAAATATCAAATTTCTTTTTATATCTATTAAAAATAAATAAATAAATAAATATCACGAAATGATATATATATTAAAAAAATATTATATTACTCTATTCGTAATGATGATAATAATGATAATGATAGTAAAAGAATTTTAATGAATAAAATTATTTTTGAAGGGGTTGAAAGAAATTTTAATTACTAACGTTGATAGATTTCAAATTTTTTTTGAAGATAAAATGGAATTTTTAATAAAAAATTTTATTTTAAATTATATTATACTAAAGGAAATCATTTCGATTTTAAAATCGTTAAAAAAAAAAAAAAGAAATGGAGTCCGAAATGATAATAATAATAATAATTTGTTTTGTTTTCGAATGAGTGATAAAAAAAAAAAAAAAAAATAAATTGAAAAATTAAAAATTAAAAATCAATCAGAAAATCTTATACGTGGGAAAAGAATCGTGGGAAAATTATTTCAATTTTTTTTTTGTTTTTTTTTTTTCTATCTCTGCCTCACCCTCACCCTCTCCTCCTCCCTCACCCCGAACAAAGGATTTTCCGGTATAAAAATAAACAAGTTGAAATTGTAAAAAAAATAATAAGTAAATAAATAATAATAATAATTTAAACAATATACGAGGATTTTCACCAAAAAAAAAACAAACGAAAGGAAAATATTTTTTGTCTACTTTTCTGGACGGATATTTTTGTCGAAAATACAAATAATAATAATAATAATAATAATAGTAATAATAATAATAATTAGAAAATGTGAAGAAATTTTTTTTTTTTTATGTTTGGCAATAAATAATTTTACTACTGTTCATTATCGTTAAGATGATTTACTTTTATTTTTACTTTTTTTTTTTTTCGTTTTCTTCGTCAAAAGTCTGGATTTTATTCCAAAAGTTTTATATATTACTTTTGGGGATTTTTTTTCCAGGTTACACATCATCGAAACACGCACCCAAACGCACCCCCAAACACCCTCGCACCCACGCCCACACACACACGCACACCCCTATATACCCACCCACACACACACGCACCCGCAAAATATCAAACATTAATAATATACAAATATATATAACTAATTTACTTTAATAATAATAATAATAATATTGATAATGATAATAATAAATACCTGTATTTATTTATTAATAAATAAAAATCGTGACGACGTTTTTTTCCCTATTTTTCAAAAAAATTTTCTTTCTACCGAACAATCTCCCGTCATCCAACTGTTACGGACAGAAACCGCTTTTTCCAAAGAAAAAAAAAAGAGAAGGAAAAAAAATTTTCCCCTTTCGGAAAACTGTTTAATGTTTGACTTAAAATTTCTTTTTTTTTTTTTTACCCCCTTCGAAATAAAATGAGAGTGGGGAGAAAAAAAAATTAAGTGGGGATGATGATGTTTATCATTTAACAACAATAACAACCCTTATCAACATCATCCTTCTTTTTTTTTATCTGTGTACATACATATAAATACTAAAAATATATTATTTATTAATTAATTAATTAATTCATTTAATTGTTAATTTTTAATAAATAAAAAAATTCGAATAATAATAATAATATTATCAAAGAACGTATTAATATTAACAATTGTTTCCCTCGCCGTATTATTATATTATTGTTTTATTATTATTATTAATTTAAAAAAAACTTTTTTTTTGCAAACGCAAAATAATTAATTGTATGACGTAATAAAATAAAAAATAATAATAATAATAAATAAATAAATAAATAAGTGTATTTATATCACTGATATTTTTGGTAAAATACGAAATTTTTTTTTTTTTATACAGTCGACACATGTACGTATTCATATAAAATGTTTATATATATATTTATTAATATATATATATTTGTATATATTTGTATATAAAAAAAATGAGTTGTTAAAATTTCTAGAAAAAAAAAAAAAGAAGAAGGGAAAAAGAAAAATGGCGGTAAATCGAAAATCGATTAATTCTACGTACGACGTATATATAAATATATATATAAAAATGTACTAAAAAATTTGTTTATATATATTTATGTGTGTGTGTGTGTGTATATATACGTGCGTGTGCATGTGTGTAAATTCATATGTACGTATACGTAAATGTATGCATGTATACGTACGTATGAAATATATATATATTTTTGATTTTCCTTCCATTAACTTTTCCCCCCATATCCCGCCCCGTCCCACCCCGCCCAGCCCAGACCCATCCCCGCTTTTGTTTTGTTTTCTCACTCCGAAAATATTCAACTTTGAACTTTTACCTGGAAAAAAAAGAATTTTTTATTACTTTTTTAATAATATTATTAAAAAAAATTCAAATAAAACCACCCCCCGAAATATCCACCACGTCCATTATGTTAATGAAAAATTATATAATTTTACCCATAATTATTATTATCATTATCGCGAACGACGTAAAAAAATAGAATATGTAAGAACCTACTCAAATATTTTATGTTATGGTCATCGTAACCCCTAAACCCTTCCCCCCCCCCCAAAAAAAAATGAAGAAAAGGGAAAAACTCACGAAATACTTTTAACCAACATTTCATCATTATCATCATCATCATCATATATAAACGCCAAATCTTTTTATTTTTTTTATTTTTTAATTTTTTTAAATTTTTTTTTTGTGTTAATCGTCTTTTTTTCGGTCGTCTTCTCCTGTTTTTTTTTTTTTTTTTTTTTTTTTTTTTTTGTTTGCAAAATATTTCCAAGGGAAACAAGAGAAGAGCATAATTGAAAAATCTAATTAGATTTCTATTTTTCTTTTTTTCCAAGGGAAAACATCATCAAAAGTCTCATTATTATTAGCCATAGTCCTTTGTAGTAGTATATTAATTATTAGCTGGCCTGAAAATATTAAAAATAAACAAAATTATTTATTTATTTGTTTTAAATTTATGCAGCGTAAATAATTTTTTAATAATACAATCTATTGATATGATAAATTATTATTATTATTACTATTATTATTATTGCTTTAAAAAACGTAAACAAAATAAATATTAATTTTTACTTACGCTACAAGCAATTTTGAAGTTCAAAAAAAAAAAAATTTAATTATTATTATTATTTGAAAATAACCTGATTGTGGGGGATATTTGTATTTTCAACGGCGTGAGTATTTGCAACCTGATGCTGACGTTGATTTTCCAACGCTAATAATTTTTGCCGTTTTTCTTCCATTAAACGTTCTCTGTGTTTGTGTATGTAGTCGTAAACGTTGGGTAGGCCCATTATCACGCATGCGGATAAGGCCGAACGATATATGTTCATGTCCGTGGCTTCGTACCTGAAAAAAAAAAAATTAATTATATATATATATATATATATATATATGCAACGGACACAAAAATGTACAATTTTTCCTTTACCATTCGTTTGTTTTTTCGTCGTAGCATTCAACGTGAAATATTGTCGTGACGCCATTGAATCCACCAATGGCGAATATCATATCGTCAATAACTTCTATTGCAAAATTACTTCTCGGATTATACATATCGGGTATGTGAGACCAAGCGTTCGTCACCGGATTATATTTTTCACCCGAACACATTCTTGATATGCCATTAAATCCACCTTTAAAAAAATAAAAAATCATTTTCCATTTTTCCATGGATTTTCGTTCCATTTTAAATATTAAGAGTGACCCTCACCGATGACGTATACGCAACCGTGATAAGTTATGCAGGATACTCCACTTCTTCTTGATCTCATGGCTGTGATCATTGTCCATTGATTAACTTCCGGATCGTAAACTTCAGCTGAATTCATACATTCTTGACCATTAAAACCCCCCGTTATGTATATTTTATCTGTATAAAGTAAATGAAAATGCGAGAAAATTAAAAATATTTGCACACGTCACAGGTACGTTATAAATGAAATTTACTGTTCAATGTCGTAGCACTAGCATCCGATCTCTGAACATTCATGCTCGCTATCAGAGACCATTGATTGTATTTATAATTGTATTTTTCAGCTGTGTTTTGGCGATGATGTCCATCGTATCCTCCCATAGCGTATATGATTGTTCCTAAAACAGCCACGCTTACGTAACACCTGTAACAACCAACATCCTTCGTGAACGAAATACTTTTGACAAAAGTTTAATGAATGAACTTACCTCCTCGCATTCATAGGTGCGACTTCGTGCCACGTTTTTTTGACCGCGTCAAAACACCTACAACTATTAAAATAATCCATTCCGTCGAAACCTCCGATAACGTATATGTTGAAATCGACAACGGCAGTGCCGTGATAAGCCCTCGGTCCAGTCGGATCCACTTCTTCGACTCTCACCCACCTGTCGGCTCGGGTATCGTACGTTTCTATGTAATTAGTCGGACTTCCACCGGACCATCCTCCGATGGCAAAAAGTATTTCGTGAGGAACACGAGGTCGAGCTATTTCCGGTGTCGGTACCTCTCCATCTTTTTGAGTTATCATTTCCAAGTCGTATAAAAACCTGAAAAAAACATTAAATTTACCCCTGGGTAAAAAAAAAAAATGGTAAAAAATAAATTTTCATTCGTTGTACCTGAGAGTTTCGATGATGACGGGACGACAGGCTTCGTTTCCCGCCACGTAGGGATGATCTTTGACTTTTTCCAAAAAAAATTGCGTTTCCAAAAGTCCTAATCTTATGTTTCTCATGAGTTCGACAATGAAAGGTTTACGATTATCAACGTCAAATTCTATCCATTTAAGTACAGTTTCCCAAACAATTTCCTCTCCTTTGACATTAAGTTCATCGGCTCCTATCATTGCTTTAAGTTCTTCCAGCGGAAGTTCAAGCAATTCTTGACTTTTATTCATTAATTGTGAAAAATTTCTCATTATATACATCCAAGCTTCTTTTTCTAGAGATGTACAAAAGTGTTCTCTAGGAAAAATTTAAATGTGTTTTATGAATTCCAGTAAATATAATTATGTATTAATACCATTTTAAATATCAGGCACGTATTCCAAAAAGAAAATAAGAAAAAAACAAACATATTAGCAGTCAATGTCCTCGGATAAATTACCTCACCTTGCAAATCTCATCACTCCGATACAATTTTCAGGTTTGAGTATGCTTTTTAAATATTCGCAACACAAATTAAGTACTCCGATCACGCAAAGGTAATCAGCCGTTACCAATAACGTATAAACATTTGTTGGAGTGAGTTCAATTGTTCTAAGGTAGGCATAATCGATTAGCCTGGACATGGTATCTGACGTAACGCCAGGAAGGAGAACATCAGTTTTGTCCTTATGATGCAATGTAGTCGTAAATAAAGCTCTGCAAACAATAACAAATTATTTTCCATTATTATTATTATTATTATTGACACAATTTTATGTGTTTGTTATTGCGCTAAATAATTTATTAATTTAATGACTTTTTCAATGAATACTACTTTCATACGAACGAACGAACGAACGAACGCAATAATTTCCGATTAAAATAAATCGATTAATAATAATAATAATAATAATAATGATGAAAAAAATATGTCTATACGCAAAACTTATTTTATTCGTACGTCAAAAGATTAAATAAAAAAAATTTTTTTTGATAAGACGGTATCAAAAAGTTTGTTTGTCAAATAATGTAAAATTTATCACCGATATACAACCGGAAACAAACAAACAAACAAAATTAAGGAGAGTGGTAATAATAATACCTGAAATAAGTACTGCAGCTAGATAAAATGGCCCTGTGTACATGGAAAACTCCGCCATCTTCGAGTCTTATTGTGGCATCGCAAAGAAGGTTTTTTTGTCTTAAATCGTTGAGGGAATTAAGTGCTTGTGCAGACATGCATCGTCCACCGTGTTGAGCTTGGGATAACAAAACCATCGGACATGTCGGACCTTCAGGCTCTTCTGTTTCCATCGAAATCTTCGTTTCCAATTCTCACAAATAATTTTTCAATATGATTTTTCACTTTTTTATTTTACCTTTCGCGCTCGTACACACACAAAAGAAACGTATTTAAAAAAAAAAAAACAAAAAGAAAAAAAGAGAAAAAAAAAAAAACAAACAATCCAGGAATTATCTCTCGCACGAGCCGGAATGTGACGGTACAATTTTGATATATTTAAAAAAAAAAAAAAAAAAAAAAAAAAATTGGAATTGGAGTCCGAAAGTTTGTGAAGTGCAATGAAATTATTATGATCAGTAGCTGCTCGTTATAAACTCATTGTGCGTTATTTATTTGCCCCTCGCCTCCAAGTATGGGCCAAACGTATTCAATTTTCTAAGTAATTTGTATATTGTTTTGGCCGAATGTGGCCAGGGGCCATGACACGTGATGGCTACTCTTCTATTGAAAACATGGAGTTTTTAATTTAACAAAAGTATGGAAACTCGGTTTTTTTTTCAATTTTACAAGGCTGTGCGAAAGAATTCAATTAATTTAGAATTTTATTATACAGTTAATTTACAATAACATATCATCATCATTATTATTATCATTTTTTTCGACTTTTCATTAAACCGCGTTTTCCCTATATAATTTTTTTCTTTTTTTCTTTCACACAATCATTCTTAAATCATTCTTAATTGATTGATTGATTTAAAAAAAGGCGAAATTATTTGAACATCCCTCGTTTGAAGGGTCATTAAATAATCTTTTGGTCAAAAGTCATCCTTATACGTTTTATCTTCATTTTTTTTTTTTTTTTTTCAAATAATATTCAAATAATTCGTAAATAAATTATCTTAGTAGAATAGCGAAATCCATTTTTTTTTATTCTGTTGTTATTGTTAATATAATAATAATAATAATTTTTTTTTATTAAATCTCATTGTCAGGAAAAACGACAAATATTAATAATAATAATAATAATCGTAAGTACAAATAATATATATTTAATTAATAAAAAAATTTACGAAATATTTTTATTTATTTATTTTTTTCAATTATGTATTATTTAATTTAATTTACAAACTAACAAAAATGTAATGGAATTTATTAATTAATAATAATAATGATAATAATAATTTATTAAGTTAATGACCTTCGATATTTATTAGATTATTTACGAGTGAAGTGACGATTGGGAAAATTTTTTATTTATTTATTTAATATAAAAAATAAAAAAGTGTTATTATAATATAATTATTATTATTACTACTACAAATTAACGAATTTCGTATTAATAATAATATTAGTTATTTAAAAAAAAAATTACGGTAATAAAATAATAATAATAAAAATAATGAAAAGGTCAAGTACGCGAAAAGGATAAAAAATTCATAGACTCATTAGTTTGCATATGCACGGAATTAAGACTTAAAAACTGCACTGGGGGTAAATTATTATTATTATTATTATTATTATTATTAAATCACAAAAATTTTCTAAAAAAAGGATTAACGTAATAATAATAATAATAATAAATTTATTAATTTATAATAATTAATAATTATTTTAATATTTTTCTAAATTTATAAAGAGTTGAAAAATCTGTCAAATTTCCGACATTATTATCTGACAACGTTTATATTATTATTGAGGGGGGAGGGGAGATGGGAGGTGAGGGGAGCGTTTGTTTTTTTGGAAGCACTTCTAAGGAAAATTTCAAATTTATTTCATTTCAGATTTTTCCCACAGTTGTCGAAGGAAAAGGATAAAGAATATTTTTTATTATCATAAAGGTAGTTTTCTATGCGACTCATCAACATAATTAAATTTGAAAGAAAAAAAAATGAGGTAATTTTTCCAAAAGCAACACAAACAAAACAAACACGTTTGCCTCTCTTTTATTAAAAAAAAAAAAAAAAACATTTCTCCAAAATTATGGAACCTGGATAAAACACGTGGGAAATTTTATAATTTTTTTTTTTTCACGCTTAAAAATTACGTTATGTACTTTTTTTTAACGCTTTAATAAATAATTAATAATAATGATAATAATAATGCTGATGTTGTTGTTGTTTGTTTCAGTTACAATATTTCTCCAGGAAAAGTTTTTACAAACTTTTGGTTGGCCACCATAAAATCCAGAGCTGTTTTTATATCCTTGACAAATACAATTGTCAAATATACATTTGAAACTCCTTGGATTTTTTTATATTTATATTAGTTTTACTTCAATTCCATACGTAAAATAAATTTCTATCATTATTATTATTATTATTCACACGCACACGCACATATTACAAATAAAATTAATTAAATGGCGTTAGATTTTGTTGCTGGATGTTTTGGAGGTAAATAAAAGTTTTATATAAAGTACACCCCTAATTTTATATTATTATTATCATCATCATCATTATTATTATTTAATATACTACCAACTATGTATTTAGGATGTGCTGGAATTTTGGTGGGACATCCTTTGGACACAATTAAAATTCGTATACAAACCCAAGATTATAAAAATCCACAATACAGAGGAACGATACATTGTTTTAAAAAAGTCATAGAAAAAGAATCTGTAAGTATTAATCATTTGAGTAAGTCTATTTTCTTATAATAATATTTATTAGAAGAAAATTTTCTTTTCAGCTCTCGGGATTATACAAAGGTATTTCCTCACCATTGGCTGGAGTTGCCGTTATAAACGCGATTGTTTTTGGAGTTTATGGAACCGTACAAAAAAATTTAACCGAACCGGAATCGTTAAAATCATGTTTTGCATCTGGTGCCGTGGCCGGTAATTAACAACCACAACAACAACAACAAAATTTAATTATTATTATTATTAATTAATTAATTAATAATTTTTTAGGTCTCGTACAAAGTTTCATTTGCAGTCCAATGGAACTTGTTAAAAGTCGTACACAAATACAAGAATCTAAAATAATTACCGGTCCTTTTCAAACGTTTCGCGACATTTATCGTAAACAAGGTTTAAAAGGTATATTCAAAGGTTTAAATATAACATTTTTAAGAGAAGGTTTAGGTTTTGGAATTTATTTTTCAACGTACGAATGGTTGACGAGAAATAACGATTCAAAACCTATAAGTACCTTACATTTATTGGGTGCTGGTGGTACGGCAGGTGCTGCTTCATGGATGTTCACTTATCCTCTCGACGTTATTAAATCAAGGATTCAAATCGATGGAATGTCAGGTATGAAAATATTATATTAAGGTACCTTTCCACGATTCGTTTTTTAATTTTTTGTTTTGGTTTTAAAGGTAACAAACAATATCAAAACAGTTTTGACTGTTTAATTAAAAGCGTGAGAACGGAAGGACTTCGTTTTCTCTTCAGGGGTTTAAGTCCAACATTGATAAGAGCTTTTCCATCGAATGCTGCCACGTGGGCTGTCGTTTCCTGGATAATGGAATTATTTAAAACAAATCAAGTACCAGAAAAAAATGCCGAATTTATGGAAAATAATTTTTGGGATGGAATACCATCGAAATCCATATATTCGTATAATTTTTGTTTTATGTATAATTCATACGTAAAATATTTAACGGACAATACGTTTAGAGAATTCGATTGACATTTAATTATTATTATTATTATTATTATTATTATTATTATTATTATCATCATCTTTTGTACGATAGATTTTTATTGTATTTAATAATAAATGTATGTATATATATATACCGTACCGGAAATTAACCGAGGTGTAAATATAAATATGATAAATATAATATAATTTTTATATTTTAATTTTTTTTTTTTTAAATTTCTTCGAGGCGTTCGTTTGAATTCGAACGCCTCGTTACGGATAAAAAATTAACTTTTTGAATTTTTTTTTTGGGGATTGCGCAGTAAAAAAAAAAAAATATTTAGGGGGCGTTCGAGTTTTCTTTTTGTCGAGAAGAAAATTTCTTTTTTTTTGCAATAAACTAATCAAAAATTTAGGTAAATAAAAATTTTTATTTTAGTTTTATTTTTTATTAAATGTTTTAACGTGACATTTTAAAATTTAAGAGAAAGAGATCATCATCATCATCATCATCGTTATGAAAAATGGCTTCCAATGAAATAGCAGTAGATAAAAAAACAACAGATGATAATTATAACGATATATCGGAATCGAATTATTCATCGAATCATTTAAACATATTAAGAAAATCATCTCCAGATTTCGATCAGGATCCAGAATCGACATCGATATGTCCACTATTAACACCATCACCAACAAGTGGAGAATTTCAAGTCATGGAAGATCCCCTTTCGGGATGTTCTTCTCTGGAACGAAACATTCTTTTAGAAGAAAAAAGATTATCACCTGATTATAATCAAGATGAAGAAACAGCACTTTTATCATCCTCACCCTCAGCTTCTTATACTCATACTATGGAACCACCACGTGCCAGTAAATTTTTTTCTTCTTTTTATTAATTTTTATTTTCTAAAAATAAGTTAAATAACAAAAGGTTATTATTAATTTATTAGTTTTAACATTTGATCGGCTAACAAAACACAACAAAAATAATATTGTGGATTCAAAAACGACCGGGATTCAAAATCAACTCGAAGAAATAACGGATGTTTTATATGCGGATCGAAATATAAGTTTAGAACATGATAGAGGTGAGAAGTGATTGATTGTGATTTTACATCATTATTATTATTACTATATGGATTTTATTAAATTTTAGATAATTTTATCAACGGTAATGATAATAATAATTTTATAACTGAAAATCAAGAATCGTCAGCATCGTCGAGTAGTTTTGCACTACCGGAAACATTATTGGGAACAGAATTATTGAGGAATCATTATCAACAATTAAGCGAAAATAATTTGGATAACGTTAATAATTTTATGCAACAGGTACGGGTAGTAAATTAATAGGTATTATTATTATTATTATTATTATTCACGTTTCCGTTTCTCCTTTTTTAGGATAACATGAAAAATATATCGTTGGATTTTACGCATCATAAAACATCAGATTTTTCATTTATTTCATGGAATTGGCCTCTTATACGTAAATCATGTTTTTGGACCATCGTTTCAATCATGATTGCATGTTTTTGCATATTGATCGGCATGCTGGCAACGGTGCCAAGAAGATGTTTTCCATCCCACAAATGGTATCACGGTACCGTTTTTTACGAAATATTTCCCGCGAGTTATCAGGATAGTAACGGGGATGGTATCGGGGATTTGAGGGGTATCGCTTCCCGTTCCGGATATTTAAAAAAACTCGGGATTCAAGCCGTTCGTTTAAATTCGATATTTCCAGCCGATCATTATCCAGAAGATTTTAATAAAATAAACAATTTAACCGATATTGAAAAATCATTGGGTAATTTTGAAGATTTCGAATATTTAATAAATTCATTTGGAAATAAAAACATTTCCGTCATATTGGATTTTCCGTTGTTTCCTTTTGTTAATCATTTGGGAGAAATGAAGTCGAAGAGAAAAAATATTGTTGATAAAATAACGACAGTGACGTATAATCAAAGATCTAATAGTTCTTCGAAATTGTTAAAAAATGAATTCACCGATAAAAAAGAATATTTAAAACCTTATATTGATGGGGGGATTGCCGGATTGATGAAATCAAATTCTGATTATTTAAAATTAAAATCACAAAACGTGATTAAAGAAGCCATTGAATTTTGGTTTAAAAAAGGCGTTGATGGTATTTATTTAAAGGATTTGATTCGTTACGTCGACGACGTGAATTTCATACAAGAATTGAAAATTTGGAAAAGTATAAAAGAAGATTTTCGAAATCAAGGATTTGAAAAAATGTTAATGTGCGATTATCAAGTTCTAGAAAACGTAAAAGATGAAGAAATTTACATGACGATATTATCTACCATGGATTTATTAGACGTGTATTTAGACGTATCAAATGGCACGTCGTTCATTCAACAAGAAGTTGACAAATATCAAAAGAGTAAAATTTATAACCAACGAGATTACCCATGGATCCACTGGAACATTGGTAACATTAATTCGAAACGTCTCGCAAGCAGAGTCGAAAACAATTTCGGTGCAATTTTATTTCAATTTTTACTACCTGGTACCATTTCAATTTTTTACGGTGATGAAATAGGTTTAACGGAAATACACGATCCTCATTTAGATCACACGGATATTGAATACGTTCATCATTTGGCACCAATGAAATGGCAACCAAACGGTACGGGTTTTACACGATTCGATTCACTACCCTGGTTGCCCTATGCAAAATCAGTTAGAACCAACAACATTCACGAGGAAATTCTATCCAATATGACATCTTTGAGAGCTGATGCACCCAGCATTTACATGAATTCAATTTGGAAAGAAGAAGAAAGTTTATCGAATAGTGCTTTTAGATTCGTAGATAGAAACATTATCGTTCTAGAAAGGTCTTACCCTAGAAGAAACGCATTCGTCGTTGTTTACAATGCAGGTACAGACGAAGCACATAACGATTTATCCAATATTTATTATCAGGGTGAATTATTGGAAGATTCTAAGGGAAGAAGTGGGATAAGCATTAATTTTAGTAAAATGAATTTAGGAAGTGGTGAAGCTATTGTTGTTAAATTGGATAAATAAATTATTATTTTTTTTTTATAAATAAACATTTCGGTGATTTTATTTTTTAAGCAATCTTATTAATAAATAATAATTAAAACAATAATAATAATAATAATAATTTTTTTTTTTTAAATGAAACCTGCAACAAAATTTAAAAAAACAAAACAAAAAAAAATTAACGTTCATAATTTTTTAATAACATTTTATGAAAATCTTAATAAAATAAAGTTAAAAACTTTTACAACCTTTTAAAATAATAATAATAATATATACCCCCAAAAAAAAAGAAAAGCAAAGCGTTAAAAAAAAATAATTAAAAATTTATAAAAAGAATGTATTATTAATTAATTTCACATTGGTGGAGGTCCGTTTAGATAATATGAGCGTAACGTAGCACTATTCGAAAAGGCACAACTATAATATTCATCTGGTATAAGTGCTGCAGCTCCTAATATGACCAACATGAGAGCTTGTATAGGTAGAGATGCTCGGAAAACTCTTCCTAAAAATCTTAGACCTCTTCTTAAACCTGTTGCATCAATATCTCCATCTCCACTGAAAAATTTATTTTTTTTTTTATAAGTTCACAATATAAAATATTGTACCTTCATTTCATTTAATTAAAAACAATATTAAAAAACCATGCATGTCGTTGTTCATGTAAAATTTTTAATAAATTGTGAATAAATATAAAATAAAAAAAAAATAAAAATAATAATAATAATAATTACTCGGAACGTGCAGTGCTTGATGATGGAATCTGACTTCCTTCCGCTCCGGCGAGCATCTACAAATGCAAACAAAGCCTAAATAAGTAACCGAGTCTACGAGTGCAAAACACGTGTATAATATACCTAACAAATCTATCTATAAATATATCTATCGTACCTCTTGAGAAAGGCTCATTAATGCCTGATCGAGAGCTTCCGTGTATTCGTTTCCTAAAACGGCTCCCAAACGAAGGAGGTAGACTTTTATAAGTCGCCTCATTCCCATCAAACGAAGACGAAGAACGTTCAAACGTTCTCTCGCCGAACTATCTTTTCCAAGGACTTGTATGGCAGCATCTTGTAGTGATTGAACTTTTGGTTCGCATCTTTCAAGCTCTCGGCTCAGCATCTGAAACGATATAAAACAATTAATTATTGTATAATTTAAACTCACGCGCACGCGCACACACGCATTTGATTTTTTTCCTGTTTACCTTATACTTTCGGTATTGAGTTTCGATAATGATTTTATCCTGGGCAAGATCAACGGGTTCTGAATTTTTAATAACCATTTCGGCATTATCGATGCATTTAACAAGATCATCTATCGTGTCGTGGAATTCCGGATTCTAAAAAAAAAATTTTTTTTTTTTTTTTTTAAACGATTCTATAATCTGGATAACGACGATTATGAAAAAAAAAAAAAAAACTTACGTCTATTAAAGCTTCTTGAAGTTTTCTTTGCCAATGACTAGCTTGCGAACATATTTTATCCCACCTGAGACTTAGAGCTTTAAGTTTTTGACGTAAAATCCGAGCTTTTTCAACGTCTCCAACGTGATCCGCCAAATGATCTCCGACTATGTTCAATGCGACGAATATGCTCTTGTGACTGTCCAAATCGATGAGAAGTTCTTTGTGATCTTGTATGACATCTTCGAGAGATTCGATGCTGGATGGTAAAGCTGGTCGGTTACCTTGAATCGCTTCGGCATATTGAACCCATTGTTCCAAACGCCATAAATCGTTTTCGAGTTGTTGCCAATTTCGTTTGGAACATATCGGACAAGTTAATCTACCTCTTTCACTAAAAAAAAAAAAAAAAAAAACCAACTGGTTATTGATATATATATATTGCTAATAATAATAAACCGCATCACTTAAATCTAACTAAAGGACAAAATTTATTTTGAGTGCTTAATATATTCTCATGTCGGAAACAACTTACTGAGTACAATAAAAAGTATAATAATCCATTAGGCTAGGCCTAAAGAAAAGAAACAAGAATTTTTCACCAATGATGAAAAATGATATGGAAGTATGAGCACCACGCACGCATACATGCAGACATTTTTTTCAAAGTAATAAAAAAAAAAAACCTTATTTACCTGGCTTCTCTGAGTTGCTTTTCTCGTTCACGTGCTTTTTGTAAAAGTTGAGTAAATTTCAACGTCAATTCATTCACTTGAGGCGTTCTCGCTTCCAAATTATTCAAACCGCAATGTTCGAGTAATGTTTGATTCAAATGACCGACCAATTCAATTGATGATGTGCACGTCGCTATAATTCTCGCCTTTTTAAATAGAAAAAAAAAAAATTTTGAAAAAATTTCGACGTGGAATCAGATTTCAAATTTAAGGGGACTTATATATTTTATTTACCAAAGCATTGTGTGTTAAGATTTTTCCGCTGGATTCTCCATCGGACGAATCCAATATTTTTTCAAGACCTTTCAAATTATCATCGCATTCTTTCAATGCGGCATCTAATTCCAAACCGTAAGCGTCCCTCGATGTTAACCTTTCCAAATGTGGTAGAGTGTCAACTTGTACTTCTGAATCCGTTTCAAAAGCCAACGTCGAAACCTGTACGTCTTTGGATTCAACGCTCTTGATACATTTATTCCTATAAAACAAAAAAAGGTTAGGGATGCTGTTAGAGAAACTCAAGGTCATAATGAAGCATAGATAAATTATTTTTTATACGGTACCAACCTAACATCGGCAAATCTTTCTCTAAGATCTTTCCACATGATCTGATATTCATCAATCATCATTTGCGTCACTGATATATTTTGCTGTTCTTCGGGGAATAATTTCATGAGCTCTAATCCTGTTTCGTCTGCTTTACGAAGGCAAACATTTTCTTTTTCCAATTCTTTTTCCAATTCGTTGACTTTTTTCATTTTTTTCTTAGGGTTTTGTATGAGTTCGGCTTGAATCAATTTAGCTGATATGTTCGTTAGGAGAGCGATGGAATTTTTATAATTTTTAATAAAATTATCTCTTATTCTATTTATCTTCGATGTTTTGCCCATTATATCTTTCAAATCCTTGTGTAAATCGTGCCATTTAATTATCAAAGTCTTGGCGGATCCCGCTAATTGTTTTATGTTATCAGGTGAAAGCCTACTTTCTTGCGCTAGTTTCGAATACGAGGCATCTAATATTTTAAGAGCAGGAGCTTTCGATTCAAGCTCTTGTTTTTCATTTTCTACAAGAGTTAAAAACTGTGGAATGTCATTTATTTTTATGTTTTTCAATTGAGAATTTAATTTTTTCAATGAGTTCTCTCTTTCTTCTATCCATTTTTCTTGTTCTTTGCATATTTTTGACAATTGTAATAAAAGTTCCCAAATTCCGATAATTCGACTTTTCTTTTCGGTAGACGACAGGCAAACTGCCTTCCACCTTTTTTCCAAAGCTTTTTGAAGAGATTCTAATTCATTCGTATCGATGCCGTTGGCTTCGGCAGACGTGTCGTTGACGAACAATTCGCAGAGATTTAAGACTTCGCCCACGTTTCCGCTTTGATTTTCTATTTCCGTTTGAACGACTTCGTGTTCTTTGAGAAGCTTGTCGATGCATTTTTTAGAACATTTTTCAACCGTGTACGGCTCTTCGAGTTTTCCTTCAATGACAGTCAACCATTCTTTGATGTCATTCATTCGTTTGAGAAGATCTTTCATCGTTGACGTTAATTTCGATTTCTTTTCCAATCTCAAACATTTTAAATTTTTCAAATGATTCCATTTCTTATTGACCTCATCCATTTTCTTCTTGACATCAGCTTTCATAATCTCATAATCGATTCTATTTTGATCCGGAGGTTTCATTTTTCCTCTTGCCGGACCATCTCCTTTAGATAAATCGATTATGCTGTCCGCCATTTGTTGAAGAGCGTTGTATTCTCGGTTTTTCAAATTCATTTCGATTTGCACTTCGGCTTCTAATCTTTTTGCTTTTGTTTCAAAATCTAAAAGTCTATTCGTTGAATCCAAAGAAGAATTTTTCTCAAATCTAACAAAAACACAAAAAGAAAACGTTTTAAAAAACATTTTTATTCTTTTAAACAGATGTAAAACAAAAAAAAAAATAAATAATTGATGACTTCTTTTACCTTGTTGTTAAATCATTGGCCCAATTCATAAATCTCGCTTGACGAAGATTAAAAGCTTGTTGAGTTTCTAACCGATCTTCCAACCATAAAATTTGCAACAATAAATGATGTTCTAAATCTCCTTGTCTTTGTGACATGAGCCAAAGTCTCTGCGAGAGTATTTTCATATCGTGTGGACTGAGACATTCTTTTAACTGATCGTACGTAACACCCGCAGCTTCGATATTTTTAGTCAAGTTGGATACTCGATTTTTCAAATCCTATAAATAAGAAATTTTTTTTTTTTTTTTTTATTACAAAATTTTCATTTTACAATTCATAAACATAAATATAAATGTAACAAAAAAAAAAAAACTTACGCGGTAAAGATCTAATCGAGATTGAATGGCGGAAAATGAAACGGGAGCAGGAAGTGTGAGTTTATCCGTCACTTCGTCGCATATCTTTTCAACTATTTCCATTTCCTTTTCGTAATTTTTATTTAAATCTTGTGTTCGATTTAAAAAGTCTTTCCACGATTTCAATCCAGCCTGATTCAAAAAAAAATTACACAACGTTTAAAATAATGAAAAATTCAAAATGAATTTTATCACCATCGTTATTTTTTTATACTAACCTCTAAATTATTGATCCTTTTAGATGTTGCTTCGGATTCCATTTTAATGGACGTTGCCAATGGTTCATCACAAAATTTTAATATGTCTTTTTGTTGCTTTTGCAAGTCTTTAACGAGGTTTTTCCCTTGTGGAACTTTTGAAAGTAATAAATCTATTTGTTCCATAAGCTTAGGAAGACGTCTTAAGTGAATGTAACGAAGTTGAAGTCTGGATTGATCTCTCGACATATCCCGAAGCCACGACAATAATTTAGTTTGATCCAATCGATATACGTCCCATAATTTAAGTCGTTTGTTGACCTGAATTTCAATCGATCATTTATTAAAAACGTTAAGATTCGGGGGGTGGAGGTGGGGGGGGGAATAAAAAAATTAATACCTCGTTATGCCTGTCCATGATTCGCGTCAAAGTTTCGTTATGTAAATTCGCAAGAGAATTGAATTGCTCTTGGAGTGTCTGAGAGAAATCTTTTATCGCGGGATCATCTTGTCTGGAAAGTAAAACGGATTGCTGGCTAGTTAACAGATTCTGATGAACTTCGCATAATCTTTGAGTTTCACGGAGTCCATCGTAATCTTCCGGCAATATTCCGGCCAAAAATGTTTGAACGTGATGAAGGTATTCTTGCCAGAGTTGCAATGCGGCTGCGCCATCTTGACTTTTCACCAATTTGGCGGATAACCTGATGAAAAAAATCAATCGCAACGTTATTACATGAAAACGTCAAAGAGATGGGAGGGAAGGAAACAAAAGAAACCATTCATTTCATCATATATATATATATGTATACCTATAATACTGTTGAAACGTTTCCCGGAAAACTTGTTGCCATAATTTTAATATTTCAACAACAGAATTTTCACTTTTAATTTCGTGCGGTTTTTCATTCATTTCAATTGATTTATCTTTAACGGTTTGCACATGACTTTCGGTTTTACCGAGTGCAATCAAATGATCTCTTAACGTGGAAACAGAATTTTCAGTGTCATCATCTCCAACAATCCGTAAACTCTAAAAATTAAAATTTTAATTTAAAAAAAAAAAAATTAACCATTGTTTTTTTTAAAAAATTTACAATTGGGTGAAAACGAACGCCTTTTTGTTAAAATTTAGACCATTTTCAAAATGAAATGCACGATACCGGAAACACTTTTTTTTTTCTCCTTTTTTCTTTTTTCTTTTTTTTTTTTTTAAATGATGTTTATCGTGCTTAAACTTGTAATTGCTTTGTGAAAAGTCAGAAAGAAAAGGCGTGTTTATTGACTCTAATCGTGTATCATGCAAATTTTCATCAATTCTCATTTAAAAAAAAAAAAAAAAAAAAAACGAAAGTAAATTTTCCTCCGTTCCAACATTAATTTCTTCACGATATTTTTTTTTTGTTTTCTTAAAATTTAAATATCCTAATGGGAAAAAAAAAAAAAAAAAAAAAACAAAATAATTTCAAACGTTTAAACTTGATAATAATTTTACTGTTGATTCGTGTTGAGTCAAATGAAAAAAAAAAAAAAAAAAAAGAAAAGAGCAAAATAAACAAAAAAAAATTAATTTTTATAAATTTTCTCCATCTCTCCCTATTCCCACGTACCCTTGAAAGAAAATTAACAATCGTAACTTACTTCTTGAACAGAATTTAAAAATTTTTTCGCTTTATTAAGTTCATCGTTGCAAACATTTTTCCCTTTTGCATTTGATTCGGCCGATGATGATATCGTCGTGAGAGTTTCTTTAACATCATCCAAACGTTTTCCAAGATCTTTAACTTCGTATTCTAAAAATCCTTCAGAATCTAATCCGATATCCGTTGCTATTTGTGAAACGAGTTTTTTCAATTCTTCCAATTTTGCTTTTTGATTTGCCAATGTTTCTTTGCATTCCTACAAACGAAAACAAACAAACAAAAACAAATGAAAAAAAAAAAAAAAAAACAAATTTTATATATTTAAAATAAATTCGATAAGTTTTCTTTTCTTTCCCCCCCCCCTAAAATTATTATTATTTTTCTTATCTTATCAGTTTTTTCCTTTTTTTTTTGATTAGATATTAATCATATTTTTCTAACGTAAAAAAAAAAAAAAAAAAAAAAAAAAAATTAAAATTTAACCCGTTTAACGAAAAAAATAACAACGGAAAAAAAAGGTTTAAAATGGCGGATGTTTTCGTAAAATCGTTTTTTTTTTCAATTTCTTATATTTTTAAATTTAAAATAATAATAATAATAATAATAAATATTTCAATATGTTGAAAACATTTTTTTTTTTTTTTAAATAAAATAAAAAATCTAAAAATAAAATTTCTTTTTTCAATGCTAAAAATACGCAATTACGTTTCGTTAAAAAAAAAAAAAAAAACAAAAAATTTTTTCGTTGCATTGAAACTGTTAATGAATCAATATTTTGTTTATGTATATAAATAAAAATTACGTAATTAAAAAAAAAACGTTAATAATAATAATAATAATAATTTATACGATGAGAAACAATAATTCAATCGTGAATTGCTAATTTTTTTTAAAAAATATTTTAACCAAACTACGCGTTAAAAAAAAAAAAAAAAAACTTTTTTTTCTTCTTTTCCATCGTTTCCTCCATTTTTTATTTATTTATTATCATTATTATCATCATCACTTATTAAATTAAAATAAAAAATGAATTATGTATTATGATTATCGAGATTTAGGGATTAAAACGCATAATTTTCATATCACAAAATGAGTAGAAGAGAAAAAATTTTTTTAAAAATAAATTATTATTATTATCTCACCTCGACCGGATCAGACACGTAACGGACATCGGATTCGGAAACGACACGTCCGCAATACATTTTCACATTAAATTAAATTTTTTTTTTTTTATAATAAATTAAATTAACAAAAAAAAAAAAAAAAAAAGAGAGAGAAGAGAAAAAAATAGAAACGATTTCTCAAGAAAATTTTTAATTTACAACACGTGACCGATAACAACATAATACTGAAAATTTTCTCTCCGTTGGCACCACTGCGCGCGAACTGTTTGCCAATTCGAAGTTGGGCAAAAAAAAAGAGGTCGTTGACGCATATAACCTTGGCTTTAACTTCGTCACACACAAACAAACAAATGTTTTTCATTATTATTATTATTATTTGCGCATTATTATTATTATTATTTTCAAACGGTTTAGGCTTTTTAGGGTCAATTTTAAATATTATAATAACGACGACGACGGTCGCCATTGTTATATATTTTATGACTCAGCAATTTATTGAAATTCAATTTGTTTTCATTGATTGTAAAACACACACACACACAAAAAAAAATAATAATAATAATATTTGAATGACATGCTTATTAATAATAATAATAATAATAATTAAATTTTACGAGTCTAATTTTGGTTTGATATTTAAATTTAAAATTTAAAAAGAGATTAGAATAAATAAATGAAAAAAAAATTATTAAACGTACCTTAATTTGTGACGTCGCATTTTCCGGATTATTTTGTAAAAGATTCAACGTTTCCGTTTGTTCTTCGATCCATTTTTTAATGTCGTCTCTCGCTTGCCGATAACTTTTCCACAATTTGACGGCTTTTTTATACTTATTTGCAGTTTCCTGCAAGTTTTTCCTCGTGTTATTCCACGCCGTTTCCGTTTCCTCGAGCTGCGATTTAAGTTGTGCGGCAACTTCCGGATCGCAAGAATTTGCCAAAGGTTCGGCAAATTGTTTTAATTCGGAAATTAAATCTTCTCGTTTTCCAACGGAATCTTGAAGGTCCTGTTATAAAAAAATCAATCAATTTAATAAAAAATGACGCCATTTTGAAATTGAAAAAAAGAATAAAAAAAAAAAAAAAAAAAAAACAAATAGCAGAAACAAAACAATTTACCAAACAAGAAAAAACAAATGAAAAATTGATAATTTTGTTTTTATGTTTTGTACAACACAACAGCAATAATAATAATAATAATAATAAGTATCAAAAATAATTGTTTTTTTTTTTTAAATGTTTAAATGATAAAATGTGATAATGGTTATATAAAATACCTTAAGCTTATCAACGGAAGTTTGTAATCTTTCCAAATCGATCGAACCCTGAAGACTCAATAGTTCGACCATGCATTCCGTTTCTTGGATATTTTTCTGTACTTTTTCCAGTTGTTTTTCGTATTTTTTCCACATTCCCAATCGGTGTTTAAGAAGATGAAGTAATCCGTTGCATCGTTCTTCCAGCACTGTAATTGTCATGGAAAATTTTTTTTTAAAAATTCTTTTTTCGAAATGATGACGCATAATTGATAACAGAATCATCGTACCTGCATGCATTTCTTGTAAATGACTGATTTCCCTTTCGATTTTGATAGGCGATACGGACAATCTTAACTTCATCGGTAAGTTATGAAGAATTTGACGAAGTTCCATCATATCCTGCCATTGATCAGATAATTCCATTGTTATATTTTCGCAAGTGTTGACAGCTTGCTCGACTACTTCCGACGACATAGACTCAGCCGTTCCGCATTGTTCTAAAGTTGACGACAGCGAATATTGATGTCTCTTAACTTTTTCCAACCCTGTACGAAATACATAATTTTTATGAAAAAATTCGTTTTATCACGAACGCATAATAATAATAATAATTCAAATTTTACCTTTATTAAGAACTATAAGTTTTTCTCGTAAAAGATTCGATTCGTTGAGTTCTGCACTTATTTGTTGATCGAGTCGACTCGCTAACCCAAATAAATATCCGACTTTTTCAGATTCGGTTGCAGGCATCAATCCGAGCCTTCCCAATTCTTCTTGAATCGCGTAAAGTCGCTCGTTCAAAATCTAACGAAAAAAGAAGGTACTCAATTAATTACTGCAGCAAAATAAAAAAATAAAAAGTTAAACATTTAATTAAAATAACCTGAATTCGTTCAATGTATAAATTTAATTCTTCGTCGGTTTTTATTATACCGTGAAGATCATCGACCGTGTCATTTAATTCGTTTAATTCTTTTTCTAATAATTTTAATTTTTCATTTGTCGATACATCTTGAGATGATAGATCCGCAACAGCGGATTCTTGAATGCTTTTTATTTCACATTCCAATTGTTTCCATCTTAAAAAAAAAATAAAAATTAAATTACGTCAATTTTTTTTTTTTTTTTTTGTCTAGACAAAGAGCGTAAAAATATGAGAAGAGAAAAGAACTAAACCTGTTTTCTAATTTTCCTAAAATTTCCCTTTGAATCATTTCATCCGATATTGGAAGCAATTGAATGGCATTTTCAAAATTGACACCAATTTCATTTCTCATACGGTTGTGTACCTCAAATTGAGCTTTCAATTCCCAAAATTGTCTCATGCTCGTTCTCTTCGATTTCGATTTAAAATCCTTCAAATCTTTTTCTGCAGTTTTCATCCAAGAATCCAATTTGTTCGTTAACAATTTGTAAAGAGTCCAAGTTTCCTACAATTACAGTACGGTAAAGGCTAAGTAAAATTTGTTAAATAAAAAAACAAAAAATTTATTTAATTAATAAAACGCTCACCTGGAACGCCAAGAGTTTTTCCAAATTGTTACTGATTTCTTCTTGAAGTGTTACAATTATGTTAAGATAATCATCGTAAAATTTTTCCAAACCGACGCACGTAATAACATCTTGTAACTTGTTGGCTACATCGATCAATTGTAAAATTTTACTGTGATGATTCGCGGTATCCGATGCCAATGATTGATATAAAGATATATATTGATCGTAATCCGAAGAAATAACTTGTTGAAGATCGGGCATTCTTTGATGAACGACTTGTAGCCATTGTTGTTCTTTTCTTACTCCTTTATCTAATATCGTCCATTTACTTGCAGCCATGGCCATTTGTTGAGCACGAGATGCGGCTTTGTCTAAAATAGTGCTAGCTTTCGAATGAAGTTTACTATGTAGTTCATTATGCGCACCTTTTGTTTCCTCGTCCAAATTGCTTTCCAGACTTTCGAGAATGGCTCTGCAATGACTCAGATTAACAAAAAATTTCCTATGTTTTTGCATTTCTTCCTGAAGGTGATTTAAACTAGTTATTGTTATCGGACTCTCGACTAAATTATCAGCCACTTCGATAATTTGTGCAAATTCTTTTAATGTTTGCTCGTATTCATCGGCTAAGCTTAACAATTGTAAAAGTCTTTCTTTTTCCGCGTTTAAGTTATTCTCTATATTTTTGGCCGTTTCGTAAGTGGTGTATACTTCGAAGGGGATTTCCAAATTCTGATAGTCTTTTGCCCAATCTTTAGCTTGATTAAGTAATTTTTCGGCATTTTCAATGTTTTCTTTATTGGCTTTATCAATTTTTTCAAATTCTTTCAATTTGGCATTTGTCGTTTCGTCCGAATCTAAAAGAGATTCAAAATTTTGTTTCGATTCTTCCACGATGACGGATAAGTTATTGACACTATTTAAGAATTCTTCCCATCGACTTAATTCATCGGCAACTTTTTTCCCTTCCGTTTCGGTTACTTCTTTAATTGATGTTATCTGCGGTTCTATTTCTTCCAGATAAATTTTCACCCAATAAATATTATTATCGGATTCCGTAACGTTGGGCATTTTATTAATTTTTTTAAGTAAATTATCAACGCTAGTCCTGAGGAAAATAATTTCTTCTTTAACAGATTTTGCATCGTTAAGTTTATCACGGTTCGGTCCTTCTGTGGTATCGAAACGACTTTGTAAAATTCTATTTTCAATCGTTTCCAACCAATAATTGATATTTTTTATAAAATAAATGAGGACAATTTGAATTTCTTCATTTTCATTTCTCGCAATTGCATCCTCTAATTGTTGAATGTCATCTTTTAATGATTTCAAAGGATCGACGCTCTCGGAAGTGTCCGGATACCAGTTTAATCCTCGAGTTCGATTTTTTAAATCTTTTATTTTTTTAAAACGTTCTTTTCCGATTTTTGAAACATTTGAAATGTAAACACCTTTCTGGTCTTCCAAATCTGGACTTTTAAATTTTTCTGACTTTATAAAATCGATGGTGTCGTCTCCTTTTTTCTTATCATCCAAACCCTTTTCCGCGGGCGAATCTCCGGATTTTTTCACTTTAACATCGACTGATGGTTTTTTCTTATTTTTATCCTTTTGGTTAGATTCCTTTTCCGAATCAATAAATTTATCAACAAATAATTTACGATCCGAATCCGTTGAATCAACTTTATCATCAGTTTTCGTAATTTTCCTAATGGTATCATCATCATCGGGAGTGAACGCAGATGCCTGGTTTAACAAAGTAGGATCTTCTTTTGACTTTGGTTCCTCCATTTTTTCTACTTTTTCAAAAGGTTTTTTTGCCTTTTTATCTTTTTCCTTACGATCTTTTGGTAATTGACCACCACTGTTATCAATTGATTTTTCGTGATCGATAAAAAGATTAGCTTTTTCAGTTGTTGAATCACTTGGACGATTAACTGAAACTTTGGTTGTGACTGAAACATTGAAAGGTTCTCCCATATAACTTTCTCCTTGAATTTTTTCTTGATCAATAAATTCATTTTCGAATTTCTTTTCAACGTTTATCTTTTTAGGTCGTGTACCTTCTTCTCGCGGTTCGTGAATTTCTTTTTCAGTTAATGAAGAAAGGGGTGACGTTTGAGAATATGCCGATGCTGTTGGAGCTTTAGAAACAGTTGTTTGCTGATATTTTTCCGATGTTACATATTTATCCGACGGTTTTTCTTCTGTGGAAGGTTTTATATTTTCCGAAACAAAAGTGCTATCGAGAGAATCCGGAGAAGTGGTTTGTACTCCTTCATCCGCAGTATTTAATCCTTTTGTTTGAATAATTTTATGAAGTTTAACAACGTCTCGATATGATCTTTCCGGAGAGGTTGTTTGTACTTGTGTGTCCGTATAAGTTGAAGGTGAAGAATGAATTTTGGTATCTTTAATCAATTTTTCTTCAGTAGTTTTTTCGACGACAGGATCCTAAAAAAAAAAAAAAAAAAAAAAAAAAAAAAAAAAAAAAAAAACCCATACATATAATTAATGACGATTAATTTAAAGAAATGAAAATTTTTTAAATTATAAAAATTTAAAAAAAATATTTCAAATAAAAAAATTTAAAAAAAAAAAAACAAAAAAAAAAAGTTAAAAATCTACCTTTGATTCAAATTTTAGATCATGAACTATAAGTGCAGAAGACACTCCAAGCTGTGAATCTGAAAGCGGTTTACTAGGAGCGGGATCAAAGGAAAGTTTTAAACTAGAAACGTGAGAATCGTCTGTTGAAGTCATTGTGTTGGACACCAAAGGAACATCACTAATAATTTTGTCACTAACATCAGAAACTGAAGAACTTTCAGAAGGAATATTTCTACCTAAATCACTACCAACATCGGAGAAATTGTTTTTAGATGTATCAGGTGAATCCAACTGCTTTTTGTTAAAAGGAAAACCAAACATTTTCTTAGCAGCCGAAAAGAGAGAACCAGCAAATGATTTTGAATCATTTTCAGACGGATCGTGAACTTGACTTCTGTCATTATCATCAATAAATGTAGGATCATTAACAGTATCATTACTCGTATCGCCCACATTTCGTCTATCCCTTTTAACAACGTCAGCAAAGCTATCCTTAGTAAAACCTATACCACTAGATTTTGGATAATCATGTTCCTTATCAGATTTATTTTCAGGAACGTTTGATGTATCACCAGAAATCACTTTTTCAAAACGTTTACGTTTAGCTTCCGGTTTATGCCTGTCACTCGGTTTAAATTTTTCATCCGGTTTGATTTTATCTTCTGGTTTGTGTTTGTCTTCCGGTTTGACTTTATCTTCTGGTTTATGTTTATCGTCTGGCTTGTGTTTCTTATCCTTTTTGTCTTTCGGCGTGTATTTCTTTTCAACGTCGTCTTCGAAGGATTCCTTCAATACGTATTCTATATCTTTTCTTGGTAACGATTTTAATTTCTCATCCGGCTCTTCGTATGTTATTATTTTGGTAACCTTTTCGATTGTTACCGTACGAGTTGGATCTCTGGTATCCGGAGTAAATCGTTCATCCGTCGGTTGTTCGTGTTTGATGAATGACAAGGTTTCTCGTTTGAGGTCTTCCAAAGGCTGATCTTTGTCGCCTTTCTTCGGTTTTTGCGGTTTGTGTTTCTTATCATCAGGTTCATCGAACTTCGGTGATTTCTCTTTTTTATCAGGAACGTAAATGTAATCCTTAGACGACTCAACGGGTTTATGTTTGTCTTCCGGTTTGTGTTTGTCTTCCGGTTTGTGTTTATCATCGGGTTTGACTTTTTCGTCAGGTTTGTGTTTATCATCGGGTTTGACTTTTTCGTCAGGTTTGGGTTTATCATCGGGTTTGACTTTTTCGTCAGGTTTGTCTTTGTCATCCGGTTTAGCTTTTTCATATAGATCAGCGTATTTCGGCGACTTCTCCTTCTTATCCTTGACGAAAATGTAATCCTTGGTCGAATCGACAGGTTTGACTTTATCATCCGGTTTGTGTTTGTCTTCTGGTTTGTGTTTGTCATCCGGTTTGTGTTTGTCATCCGGTTTGTGTTTGTCTTCCGGTTTGACTTTATCTTCTGGTTTGACTTTATCTTCTGGTTTGTGTTTGTCTTCCGGTTTGACTTTATCTTCTGGTTTGTGTTTATCGTCTGGCTTGTGTTTCTTATCCTTTTTGTCTTTCGGCGTGTATTTCTTTTCAACGTCGTCTTCGAAGGATTCCTTCAATACGTATTCTATATCTTTTCTTGGTAACGATTTTAATTTCTCATCCGGCTCTTCGTATGTTATTATTTTGGTAACCTTTTCGATTGTTACCGTACGAGTTGGATCTCTGGTATCCGGAGTAAATCGTTCATCCGTCGGTTGTTCGTGTTTGATGAATGACAAGGTTTCTCGTTTGAGGTCTTCCAAAGGCTGATCTTTGTCGCCTTTCTTCGGTTTTTGCGGTTTGTGTTTCTTATCATCAGGTTCATCGAACTTCGGTGATTTCTCTTTTTTATCAGGAACGTAAATGTAATCCTTAGACGACTCAACGGGTTTATGTTTGTCTTCCGGTTTGTGTTTGTCTTCCGGTTTGTGTTTATCATCGGGTTTGACTTTTTCGTCAGGTTTGTGTTTATCATCAGGTTTGTGTTTTTCATCGGGTTTGACTTTTTCGTCAGGTTTGTCTTTGTCATCCGGTTTAGCTTTTTCATATAGATCAGCGTATTTCGGCGACTTCTCCTTCTTATCCTTGACGAAAATGTAATCCTTGGTCGAATCGACAGGTTTGACTTTATCATCCGGTTTGTGTTTGTCTTCTGGTTTGACTTTATCTTCTGGTTTGACTTTATCTTCTGGTTTGTGTTTGTCTTCCGGTTTGACTTTATCTTCTGGTTTGACTTTATCTTCTGGTTTGTGTTTGTCTTCCGGTTTGACTTTATCTTCTGGTTTGTGTTTATCATCGGGTTTGACTTTTTCGTCAGGTTTGTGTTTATCATCAGGTTTGTGTTTTTCATCGGGTTTGACTTTTTCGTCAGGTTTGACTTTTTCGTCAGGTTTGTCTTTGTCATCCGGTTTAGCTTTTTCATATAGATCAGCGTATTTCGGCGACTTCTCCTTCTTATCCTTGACGAAAATGTAATCCTTGGTCGAATCGACAGGTTTGACTTTATCATCCGGTTTGTGTTTGTCTTCTGGTTTGTGTTTGTCATCCGGTTTGTGTTTGTCATCCGGTTTGTGTTTGTCTTCCGGTTTGACTTTATCTTCTGGTTTGACTTTATCTTCTGGTTTGACTTTATCTTCTGGTTTGTGTTTGTCTTCCGGTTTGACTTTATCTTCTGGTTTGTGTTTATCGTCTGGCTTGTGTTTCTTATCCTTTTTGTCTTTCGGCGTGTATTTCTTTTCAACGTCGTCTTCGAAGGATTCCTTCAATACGTATTCTATATCTTTTCTTGGTAACGATTTTAATTTCTCATCCGGCTCTTCGTATGTTATTATTTTGGTAACCTTTTCGATTGTTACCGTACGAGTTGGATCTCTGGTATCCGGAGTAAATCGTTCATCCGTCGGTTGTTCGTGTTTGATGAATGACAAGGTTTCTCGTTTGAGGTCTTCCAAAGGCTGATCTTTGTCGCCTTTCTTCGGTTTTTGCGGTTTGTGTTTCTTATCATCAGGTTCATTGAACTTCGGTGATTTCTCTTTTTTATCAGGAACGTAAATGTAATCCTTAGACGACTCAACGGGTTTATGTTTGTCTTCCGGTTTGTGTTTGTCTTCCGGTTTGTGTTTATCATCGGGTTTGACTTTTTCGTCAGGTTTGTGTTTATCATCGGGTTTGACTTTTTCGTCAGGTTTGGGTTTATCATCAGGTTTGACTTTTTCGTCAGGTTTGTCTTTGTCATCCGGTTTAGCTTTTTCATAAAGTTCAGCGTATTTCGGCGACTTCTCCTTCTTATCCTTGACGAAAATGTAATCCTTGGTCGAATCGACAGGTTTGACTTTATCATCCGGTTTGTGTTTGTCTTCTGGTTTGTGTTTGTCATCCGGTTTGTGTTTGTCATCCGGTTTGTGTTTGTCTTCCGGTTTGACTTTATCTTCTGGTTTGACTTTATCTTCTGGTTTGTGTTTGTCTTCCGGTTTGACTTTATCTTCTGGCTTGTGTTTCTTATCCTTTTTGTCTTTCGGCGTGTATTTCTTTTCAACGTCGTCTTCGAAGGATTCCTTCAATACGTATTCTATATCTTTTCTTGGTAACGATTTTAATTTCTCATCCGGCTCTTCGTATGTTATTATTTTGGTAACCTTTTCGATTGTTACCGTACGAGTTGGATCTCTGGTATCCGGAGTAAATCGTTCATCCGTCGGTTGTTCGTGTTTGATGAATGACAAGGTTTCTCGTTTGAGGTCTTCCAAAGGCTGATCTTTGTCGCCTTTCTTCGGTTTTTGCGGTTTGTGTTTCTTATCATCAGGTTCATTGAACTTCGGTGATTTCTCTTTTTTATCAGGAACGTAAATGTAATCCTTAGACGACTCAACGGGTTTATGTTTGTCTTCCGGTTTGTGTTTGTCTTCCGGTTTGTGTTTATCATCGGGTTTGACTTTTTCGTCAGGTTTGTGTTTATCTTCTGGTTTGTGTTTGTCTTCTGGTTTGAGTTTATCTTCTGGTTTGTGTTTATCTTCTGGCTTGTGTTTCTTATCCTTTTTGTCTTTCGGCGTGTATTTCTTTTCAACGTCGTCTTCGAAGGATTCCTTCAATACGTATTCTATATCTTTTCTTGGTAACGATTTTAATTTCTCATCCGGCTCTTCGTATGTTATTATTTTGGTAACCTTTTCGATTGTTACCGTACGAGTTGGATCTCTGGTATCCGGAGTAAATCGTTCATCCGTCGGTTGTTCGTGTTTGATGAATGACAAGGTTTCTCGTTTGAGGTCTTCCAAAGGCTGATCTTTGTCGCCTTTCTTCGGTTTTTGCGGTTTGTGTTTCTTATCATCAGGTTCATTGAACTTCGGTGATTTCTCTTTTTTATCAGGAACGTAAATGTAATCCTTAGACGACTCAACGGGTTTATGTTTGTCTTCCGGTTTGTGTTTGTCTTCCGGTTTGTGTTTATCATCGGGTTTGACTTTTTCGTCAGGTTTGTGTTTATCATCGGGTTTGACTTTTTCGTCAGGTTTGGGTTTATCATCGGGTTTGACTTTTTCGTCAGGTTTGTCTTTGTCATCCGGTTTAGCTTTTTCATATAGATCAGCGTATTTCGGCGACTTCTCCTTCTTATCCTTGACGAAAATGTAATCCTTGGTCGAATCGACAGGTTTGACTTTATCATCCGGTTTGTGTTTGTCTTCTGGTTTGTGTTTGTCATCCGGTTTGTGTTTGTCATCCGGTTTGTGTTTGTCTTCCGGTTTGACTTTATCTTCTGGTTTGACTTTATCTTCTGGTTTGTGTTTGTCTTCCGGTTTGACTTTATCTTCTGGCTTGTGTTTCTTATCCTTTTTGTCTTTCGGCGTGTATTTCTTTTCAACGTCGTCTTCGAAGGATTCCTTCAATACGTATTCTATATCTTTTCTTGGTAACGATTTTAATTTCTCATCCGGCTCTTCGTATGTTATTATTTTGGTAACCTTTTCGATTGTTACCGTACGAGTTGGATCTCTGGTATCCGGAGTAAATCGTTCATCCGTCGGTTGTTCGTGTTTGATGAATGACAAGGTTTCTCGTTTGAGGTCTTCCAAAGGCTGATCTTTGTCGCCTTTCTTCGGTTTTTGCGGTTTGTGTTTCTTATCATCAGGTTCATCGAACTTCGGTGATTTCTCTTTTTTATCAGGAACGTAAATGTAATCCTTAGACGACTCAACGGGTTTGTGTTTGTCATCCGGTTTGTGTTTGTCTTCCGGTTTGTGTTTATCATCGGGTTTGACTTTTTCGTCAGGTTTGTGTTTATCATCGGGTTTGACTTTTTCGTCAGGTTTGGGTTTATCATCGGGTTTGACTTTTTGGTCAGGTTTGTCTTTGTCATCCGGTTTAGCTTTTTCATATAGATCAGCGTATTTCGGCGACTTCTCCTTCTTATCCTTGACGAAAATGTAATCCTTGGTCGAATCGACAGGTTTGACTTTATCATCCGGTTTGTGTTTGTCTTCTGGTTTGTGTTTGTCATCCGGTTTGTGTTTGTCATCCGGTTTGTGTTTGTCTTCCGGTTTGACTTTATCTTCTGGTTTGAGTTTGTCTTCCGGTTTGACTTTGTCTTCCGGTTTGACTTTATCTTCTGGTTTGTGTTTATCATCCGGTTTGACTTTTTCGTCAGGTTTGTGTTTATCATCGGGTTTGACTTTTTCGTCAGGTTTGGGTTTATCATCGGGTTTGACTTTTTGGTCAGGTTTGTCTTTGTCATCCGGTTTAGCTTTTTCATATAGATCAGCGTATTTCGGCGACTTCTCCTTCTTATCCTTGACGAAAATGTAATCCTTGGTCGAATCGACAGGTTTGACTTTATCATCCGGTTTGTGTTTGTCTTCTGGTTTGTGTTTGTCATCCGGTTTGTGTTTGTCATCCGGTTTGTGTTTGTCTTCCGGTTTGACTTTATCTTCTGGTTTGACTTTATCTTCTGGTTTGACTTTATCTTCTGGTTTGTGTTTGTCTTCCGGTTTGACTTTATCTTCTGGTTTGTGTTTATCGTCTGGCTTGTGTTTCTTATCCTTTTTGTCTTTCGGCGTGTATTTCTTTTCAACGTCGTCTTCGAAGGATTCCTTCAATACGTATTCTATATCTTTTCTTGGTAACGATTTTAATTTCTCATCCGGCTCTTCGTATGTTATTATTTTGGTAACCTTTTCGATTGTTACCGTACGAGTTGGATCTCTGGTATCCGGAGTAAATCGTTCATCCGTCGGTTGTTCGTGTTTGATGAATGACAAGGTTTCTCGTTTGAGGTCTTCCAAAGGCTGATCTTTGTCGCCTTTCTTCGGTTTTTGCGGTTTGTGTTTCTTATCATCAGGTTCATTGAACTTCGGTGATTTCTCTTTTTTATCAGGAACGTAAATGTAATCCTTAGACGACTCAACGGGTTTATGTTTGTCATCCGGTTTGTGTTTGTCTTCCGGTTTGTGTTTATCATCGGGTTTGACTTTTTCGTCAGGTTTGTGTTTATCATCGGGTTTGACTTTTTCGTCAGGTTTGGGTTTATCATCGGGTTTGACTTTTTCGTCAGGTTTGTCTTTATCATCCGGTTTAGCTTTTTCATAAAGATCAGCGTATTTCGGCGACTTCTCCTTCTTATCCTTGACGAAAATGTAATCCTTGGTCGAATCGACAGGTTTGACTTTATCATCCGGTTTGTGTTTGTCTTCTGGTTTGTGTTTGTCTTCTGGTTTGTGTTTGTCATCCGGTTTGTGTTTGTCTTCCGGTTTGACTTTATCTTCTGGTTTGACTTTATCTTCTGGTTTGTGTTTGTCTTCCGGTTTGTGTTTGTCTTCCGGTTTGTGTTTATCATCGGGTTTGACTTTTTCGTCAGGTTTGTGTTTATCATCAGGTTTGTGTTTTTCATCGGGTTTGACTTTTTCGTCAGGTTTGACTTTTTCGTCAGGTTTGTCTTTGTCATCCGGTTTAGCTTTTTCATATAGATCAGCGTATTTCGGCGACTTCTCCTTCTTATCCTTGACGAAAATGTAATCCTTGGTCGAATCGACAGGTTTGACTTTATCATCCGGTTTGTGTTTGTCTTCTGGTTTGTGTTTGTCATCCGGTTTGTGTTTGTCATCCGGTTTGTGTTTGTCTTCCGGTTTGACTTTATCTTCTGGTTTGACTTTATCTTCTGGTTTGACTTTATCTTCTGGTTTGTGTTTGTCTTCCGGTTTGACTTTATCTTCTGGTTTGTGTTTATCGTCTGGCTTGTGTTTCTTATCCTTTTTGTCTTTCGGCGTGTATTTCTTTTCAACGTCGTCTTCGAAGGATTCCTTCAATACGTATTCTATATCTTTTCTTGGTAACGATTTTAATTTCTCATCCGGCTCTTCGTATGTTATTATTTTGGTAACCTTTTCGATTGTTACCGTACGAGTTGGATCTCTGGTATCCGGAGTAAATCGTTCATCCGTCGGTTGTTCGTGTTTGATGAATGACAAGGTTTCTCGTTTGAGGTCTTCCAAAGGCTGATCTTTGTCGCCTTTCTTCGGTTTTTGCGGTTTGTGTTTCTTATCATCAGGTTCATCGAACTTCGGTGATTTCTCTTTTTTATCAGGAACGTAAATGTAATCCTTAGACGACTCAACGGGTTTGTGTTTGTCATCCGGTTTGTGTTTGTCTTCCGGTTTGTGTTTATCATCGGGTTTGACTTTTTCGTCAGGTTTGTGTTTATCATCGGGTTTGACTTTTTCGTCAGGTTTGGGTTTATCATCGGGTTTGACTTTTTCGTCAGGTTTGTCTTTGTCATCCGGTTTAGCTTTTTCATATAGATCAGCGTATTTCGGCGACTTCTCCTTCTTATCCTTGACGAAAATGTAATCCTTGGTCGAATCGACAGGTTTGACTTTATCATCCGGTTTGTGTTTGTCTTCTGGTTTGTGTTTGTCATCCGGTTTGTGTTTGTCATCCGGTTTGTGTTTGTCTTCCGGTTTGACTTTATCTTCTGGTTTGACTTTATCTTCTGGTTTGTGTTTGTCTTCCGGTTTGACTTTATCTTCTGGTTTGTGTTTATCGTCTGGCTTGTGTTTCTTATCCTTTTTGTCTTTCGGCGTGTATTTCTTTTCAACGTCGTCTTCGAAGGATTCCTTCAATACGTATTCTATATCTTTTCTTGGTAACGATTTTAATTTCTCATCCGGCTCTTCGTATGTTATTATTTTGGTAACCTTTTCGATTGTTACCGTACGAGTTGGATCTCTGGTATCCGGAGTAAATCGTTCATCCGTCGGTTGTTCGTGTTTGATGAATGACAAGGTTTCTCGTTTGAGGTCTTCCAAAGGCTGATCTTTGTCGCCTTTCTTCGGTTTTTGCGGTTTGTGTTTCTTATCATCAGGTTTATCGAACTTCGGTGATTTCTCTTTTTTATCAGGAACGTAAATGTAATCCTTAGACGACTCAACGGGTTTGTGTTTGTCATCCGGTTTGTGTTTGTCTTCCGGTTTGTGTTTATCATCGGGTTTGACTTTTTCGTCAGGTTTGTGTTTATCATCTGGTTTGTGTTTTTCGTCAGGTTTGTGTTTATCATCCGGTTTGTGTTTGTCGTCTGGTTTGTCTTTCTCATCAGGTTTGTCTTTGTCGGCGTGTATTTCTTTTCAACGTCGTCTTCGAAGGCTTCCCTTCTATCCTTAATCTATATCTTTTCTTAGTAACGATTTTAATTTCTCATCCGGCTCTTCGTATGTTATT